TATACAAGCAACAAAAACGATGTTGAATGTTAACTGATTTGCACCTTTTGACTTTTGGTCGCGCGGCAGGGGTACGATGTAGCTACGATGGAGCGCGCTGATTAGCGGAAGCATTACTCATAGGAAAAGGCAAAGAGAAGGAGCAGGAGCAGGAGCAGGAGCAGAAGAGAGCGAAGCAAAGCGAGAGTGAAACGAGCACTCAATCAAGTGAAAAATGCAAATGCTAAAAATACCAACAAAGGGGAAACTGCGGTACTATAAAAGCGGATAGCAGCTGCAAGTGTCAGATCTTTGATGCCCCCGCTCCAGTTTTTATCGCCCAGCAGCCAGCCCTATCTTTACCCCCACTCCCCCACTCCGCACTCCTTTCTCCTCATCGACGCGCTTAGTGTTGCATTTATTGCGCTTGTTAAAGGCGGCTAAAAGGGAAACGCGCCAGCGAGAGAAACAAGTTAAAAAGTCATAAAATGATATTTATTTCATTTCGTTGCCGCGTAATGCGGCACTAGCAGTGGCAGAGGCAGTGGCAGTGGCAGTGGCAGCAGCAACCATCAGCAGCCTCGCGGGTGGCATAAGCGCAAGACCCTAAGACGATGATGAAGAAACAGTGGCAGGAGTGGCAGCATCAGCATCAGCAGCTGACACCAGAGCGGGAGATGCAGAAGTTCCGTAGATTTGCTGTTTATTTGAAATTTATATTCGAGCTGCACAACCCCCGAGAGAGCAGAACAGCGGCCAGAGAACCATCAGAATAACCAAGGGGAAATGGGAATGGGTTCGGTTCCTTTTCTATTCCGCCTTTTCACACAACTATTTTGCCGGCAAAAGGAGTTTATGGAGTTGAAGCTTTGACTTTTTGCCAGCAACCCAACCCCACCCCATCGCTGACCGGCAAATGGTGGGGCCACTGGAAATGGAAATGCGCCATCGTTGTGGCTTTTTAATGTTTTCTTGTTAAAGTTTATTGAAAAACTTTGGCCAGTCACGTTTGAGTAGTCAGCGGGCGGCGTGCAGTAACTTATAACTCTCCCATCCGCAAAATACACAAACAAACATACATCCTTTCTGTGTGTAGATACGATCTACCCTCCCCAACCAGAAATGAAAACAGCTGCATGGCTGCACGCCCCAATGCCCATGAAAATGGAGCAAAAGTGATTTTTTCTGTTTAATACAAAAAAGAGGAGTGGAAACTGGCAAATATTACTTTATCTATTCTTTTTTTTTGCTTTTGGTGGAAAGATGTTTTCTGTGGGGGGGGTGGAGGCGTGGTCATGTTTGTTCATAATTGAAATTTCGCGCTAAACAGGATGTGGCCATTCCAGCGCTTTTGTTGCGGCCAGTTCAAGTTGTTCGAGTTGTGTAGAATGAACTCGTGCTGAAAGCTTTTCCCACCAAGTGGCAAGGGGGGAGAGACAGACAGAGGGAGTTGGAGAGATTGGGTGGCTGCCAGCACATGGCCAAGTGGCAGTGCGAGTTGCAGTTCATAAACAACAAAGCAGAAGATGCGAAAATGCAATAATATTTATGAGGAACACTCTGTACAATGGCGGGTGCGATGTGCGGGGTGATGGTGATGTGGCAGGAAAGTGCAAAAGAAAATTAAGAGCACAGAAAATTCGAAATGTGTGCGAAAAACTTGAAGTGGAGAGCGAGAGAGAGAACGCGAGAGAGGGCGCGAAAAGTGCCCCTGTCCAGGGAATTGTCATTGTCTTCGCTTACAACATGTCTCCCCCTGCCACCCTCCCTTTCCCCCTTGTAACAATGGAAACGGAACAATGAAGTTGTCTGAATGGAACTTTAACTGAAAGTTGTTTCAAAATGCCTCCCATCGATCCGCCCCTTGTGGTGGTTGCATTTTATGATTACAACAATTTCATTTCTGCCCTCCCATGACTGTACTGTGTTTTTCTTCGAATTTTTCAACTATTTTCCCTTTAGTTAGGATCCAGGATACCTTTCATGTTTTACCTTTGGTGGACATTCTTTTGCCTCCCATCTCCCATCTCCCATCTGCATGCTGCCTTGGTTGGCTCTTACTTTCCGGCACTCGCCTCGATCCCATTTATTTTTCACTCTCGTGTCCCTGCCGTCTGTCACGGCCCAGCGCCGGTTTGCTCCCCATCCCGCACCATTTCCAACCGTACACGTACTGCACTGTGACATGTGCTTCCTCTGTTGTATTTTTGTGCCCCACCACGTTGCAGCATGTCCCATGCCCATCCCCTCCATCCTCTGTAGCTGCCATTTTCAGCATGTGAAATTGAACTTTGCATCTTGGCTGCGTCGCTTCGTTGCGTCGCGTCGCGTCACAACTCCAGCAGATACTCTCGCAACGAAATTTTCATTTTCCAGCGCCAATGCTCCTGCTGCTGCACTTGACTTGTGGCGCTTCTGCTGCCCTCCCCTCTGGCCAACCCATCAGTGTCCCTGCCACATGCTGCCTGGCATGTCCCCCCATCCATTCTGACCGCCATGCAGCGCCGCTTATGACGCTGTTTTGACACTACGAACGCGCGCGCGTGTTTATAAATAAAATATATATGGAAATATGCTTGAGACATTTTTCAGCGCCCTCTCGCAGTGGCAGCATGCAGCATGCAGCATGTGTCGCTGCTGTGTGCACCCCTTCTGCCTTTTCCTTTGAAGTTCATAAAAATTAACAGAAAATCAATTTACAACACAAATGATGCGCTGATGAGGAGGCCCAAGTGCGGACTGACTCTACGTTGAGCTCTCGAGGCAGTTGTAAATATTTTTATTGCAATTGATGGTGTGCCTCTGATCTGAGCCGCCACGCCCCACGCCCCATGCTGCTGCCCCTTGGGTTAACACTAGGGTTGATTCTTTGGCCATATGAATATTTATGCCCTGTACTCCAAGAAGGAGAAAGGGTATGACAGCCAGCAGTTAGGGACTGCAGCAGGAGTATTTTCAGTATCAGTAAAAGAAAAATGATCAACCATTTCGATAAGCAATAAATATCTAGAGTAGGTAACTCTAGTTTCAAATATAGACAGCTAATTTCGGAGGCTCATGCATACTCGTTTCATATTCGAAATGGCCTTCATAGCACGAGTGCCGGGTATCTTATTGTCGAAGCTCACTTGATATTGTTGTATGACTGCTATCGAGCGTGCTGATTGCCCATCAAAAAGCAAAGCCAAGGCCAAAGCAACAGCAGCAGCAGCAGCAGCACAGCAAGAGATTTGCATAGGGCACGGCACACCCCGACAACCCATGGCCCACCCCATACATGCAAATCCCCTACTAATGCCAAACGTTTCCCGGTCTCCTGGGTTTCTTTTTCTGTAGTTGTGGCTGTAGCGTCAGCAGAACATAAAAATAGCGACGATTATGATGAAAATATTCATGCGACAAACGGAAGCCGTTGCCAGGTCCCTCCTGCCACAGACGCAGAAGCAGAAGCAGCAGCAGCAGCAGGAGTGGCACTTGGGACTTGGAACATGGAACGACTCCCCTACACACACACGTACACATCAGAGTATGTATCTGCATTGGTGTGAGTTGTTTATGTGCCAACGATACGCAGCACATTTGAATTCCACTTAAAGCGTCATCGCAAATCGCACTCACAGTGTGTATTTGGCAAGGCAGCGACAGCAAGAAAAGCCTTGGATACATGCTGTTCCAGAGAGATGGATGCGCACGGGTATCCATGAAATCGCAGATCGCAGTTCAATAGCACTTTAGAGAGCCGCAAAAAGCGGCTGTGGAAAAGCGCCCTTCCGGGCCAGCCAAGGATGTCGCCGACGCTAATAAAGCAGAAGGCGTGAGGCGTAATTAAATTTAATGCCAAAAATGCTCAGACAAAAGCCAAATGGGCATGACGCCAAGCCGAAAATGTCTAAATCCAGGCATTGAAATTCAATTTACTACAAAATCCCATGCATCGACGGACGACCCAAACGACAAGAGCCAGCGAAATAGAAAATACTGGAAAATGTGTCTCGATTTGGGCAAATCCTGTCATAAATTTCAGGCCCCCTCCAGAGCCAGTCACCAGTCACATCCCAGGGAGCAGAGCATCAACAAAAGGCAGACAGCCAGACAACAACCCTAAGGAAAATATGCTGATGTCGATGCCGAATTATGATTTGTTTTTGTGTCGACTGGGTAAGAGTCGTCCTCGTCCTAGTCGTCGGAGCCAAAGTTATATACTGTACAGATGGGGGACACGGGCAGACACTGGGGAAATGAGATTTGCCCTCAAGGTTAGCCGACTACATGGACATGTTGGGGGAGGCGGGGCGGACGACACACACACACGTAAACTACTCGCAACAACCAGTTGAGAGGCTCGTAAAAAGCACAAGGCACCAGAGCACCAGAGCACCAGAGCACACCCAAAAAGAACCCGAGGCACACGGAGCACCCGTGCAAATCCCATCACTCTTGGATGGCCAAGAGCAGACCCCACAACACATCCTCGACTCGACCTCGCAAATTATAAAGTTGTTTGGGCCAAAACTGCTGACTCTCTCTCGCGCTCTCATGCCTTGGCTGGCAAGTTTTGTGTGCTGGCCTTTTTAAAAATGGCGAGAGTAAGTTCTGCACGTTTTATCTAACGCACATTGATAAGGATTTTTTGGCAGTCGTCGCATGATTTGCAAGTTTGCACAAAATGCTGCCCAGATCTACGAGTCGATGGACGTTTTGTGCAGACGTTGGCGAATATCGTGAGCGGAAATGTGATGACCTCTTGGCATAGTTTTCTCTTGTTATACTTCCTCTCCCTCTTTTTTTTCCCATTTACATTCCGATGCTCAGATATCCATCAGCTTATACTCGAGATGGACAGATGGTTCGTACAGCTGGAAACAGGTGGTAAGAAAATTCGGGTAAGGGATATTTGGGCTGTCCCTTTTTCGATAATTGGAATCGGAAATCAATGCATCTGTAACTACATTTCCTTTGAAGTTTCCCCGCAATAAAAGGATATCGTTTGATGCTATGGTTTTTAAGATGGAAATACTCACTGTTCTTTTGAAAATCCTGCGACTCCTCGTCCGCCAGCGCCGTGTTCAGCTGCAGGCAAATCAACAGTGTCAACATCCAGCCGACAACCCAAATCGTTCTGCCATTGTCCGCCAACGACATTTGATTTCGCATTCGCATTCGCATTCGCATCCACAACATCCTCGTCCGCATCCACAGCATGGACGACCTCGACATGGACGTGCATCTCGTTCGTGTTTTTCGATGCGAATTGTGTGGTTGTTCTTTCGGCTGGCAATATGTTGAAGTAGTTTCCATTGATGATGGTGTTGCTCTGGTTTCTGGTATTCTGGCTGTCCCAGCAGTTGTCGCTGTTGCTAATAAAAACTGCATGGCTGTCATTTTGTTTAGCTTGCGGTGCGTTGTGCCAAACGCGAAAACGTCTCGTCATTTATATAACAAACTTCAATTTGACCAAAGTGTCAAAGAAACAAAACGAGTGCAAAAGAGTGTAGGAGTGGCGTATATTGCCGCAGCACCAGCAACAGCACCCAAATTGACTGCAATTGTTGTTCTTGGTCTACACGTGTTCGTTGTGTTTGTATCTGTGTCAGTTTCTGCGATGACGTGGCGCCAATAAACACAGGTCCTGCGTTGTTATGGCTGCTCTGAATGCGATTTCCGCTTCCGACGTTGCCTTTAATGAAGCGCCAATGTACTCTTTGGCTCTGAGTTGGACCATAAAAATAACATTTCGACTGCCATTCACGTGTGCATGTCTGTTTGTGGCTCTGTCGACCGTCGTCCGTCGACTTAGATCAGTCGGAGTTGCGTTCGTGGCAGTTAAAGTTGCTTAAATCGAGCGAATGTCCCACACCGATTCTTAATGTGCTTTTACATGTTTATTTGCGCTTTTATGGGCGCTTCTTTTTAGGCGGGACTTTAGGCTGGTCCGTTGGCCGCTGAAAATAGAAAAAAGAAGATGGAAAAACATGAGTAAATGCTGCTGTTTGTGCGGGTAAAATGATTTCCAGGCAATCTCTTTTTGGGTTTTTGGCTGTTGTTGTTTTCCTACTGGCAAAAATATGAAAAGTGCTAATAAAATTTTTATACATTGACTGGCATTGCGCATCGACGCAAATTGAGCTCGTAAAGCAATACGGTAGAAAAGAAAATAAATAAAGGGGGTAACCGATGCGCCCGTCCAGCATTTACATCCCGCAGAGGGGAATGCCCTTGGCCCGACAACGCACTCCTCGAAATTGGTTGTTTTATGTGGCCATCGCATCGATGAAGTGTGATTAATGGCGCGTTTCGAGGGGCGACTTGTAATTAAGGCAGTAGATTTATGTCCAAAGCCACAGCTGAGGCATGACCTTTTCTTTTGCCTCCCCCTACACAACTGAACACCTCTTCCACCCCCCTCATTCTGTGCTCTCTGTGTCGGCCAATAAAAGCCAGTTCCCATTGAGTGCTGCTTTATCACCTAACCAAATGTTGCTGCTGCTACTGCTGCTGCGCCTTTTAATTGCGTGTTTTGGTCCCGTCATCGGCAACACGAGTGTCGACAATTAAACAAGGCATCAAAATTGATAAAGCCAACCCCCCAGGCCATCCCAGGCCATCCCAGGCCATCCCAGGCCATCCCATGCCATGCCATCGAGTGGCCAGCACTCTGTGTGTCATGGTTAGTTTGGCTTTGGGCTAATGGTGTTGCATTAATGGGGTGAAGAGGACTCCTCCCTGATGCCTGGTTGTCCTTAACCCAGAAAGCGGCTCGGCTTCACTCGTAATTATGCAACATTTTGTATCGGCAGCCATGCGACAACTGGGCTCCGATTCTGGGAGTTCTCCTACCGCCACCTCTGCTCGTATATGGCCTGTTTTTAATGAGCAACTGCAAGACGGTCGCGTGTGTGTAGGCAAGGAGACTCGCACATAAATAAAATATAACTCACGCAAAAAAGTTCATAAATTTTTATGAACTTCAACAGTCATGTTAGATGCTTTTTGATTAAAAGATAATAACTTTTCGGGCTGAGGTATGGCATGGAATGGCATGGGATGTGTGTGTGTGTGTGTACGCTTGCTGTTGTTCTTTCTGATGTTTCTGTTGCCGACACGCCTCCATCTTTTACTCTCCCACCCACCCACATTCATTACTACATATCATTATTTTCTCTCTTGACTTGCACCATTCGCCGCCCTCTGGCTCTCTTGGCTGCACATAAATTAACAAGAAGTGAGATGTGAGGTGGGGGCCTCGCTGCGAGGCGAGGGCCAGTCAAACTTTGCTCATTAGTAAATTTCAGACAAGCAACATACGTACGAAAAGGTACATCTGTTGGCTCCAAGGGGTAGCAAGGGGTTTCCTCTTCTCATGTCATTTGGTTAGCATATTTTATTGCTGATTAATTAACTTGAAGAAGTGGGAGAGAAGAATGTTCTCGGTAGTGATTGCAGCAGCAGCAACAGCAGCAACTGCGTTTGTATTGTCTGTAGCAAGTCTGTAGTAGTCTGCCCGGCATCAAACCTGAACTTTAATGACACCAAGTGGAAGATTTGCTAATTAAAAAAGTTTGTCGGTGCCACGGCACAGCGCAGCAGTCAAAGAGCAACACGGGAAGGACCAGCCCAGTGGCAAAGAAAAGTTAGTTCCATTGGTTGTGTCCTTATTGCTGGTGTGTGTGTGTGTGTGTCTGTGTGTGTGCGTGTGTAAAGTATCATGTAACTATTGACAACCATTGACGTGTGGCCCTGGGCCTGGAGGAGCCAGCCGCCAGTTAGGAGTATTGGCAAACAAGGAATTAGTTCTCCAATTTATTAGGACATTTTGTGCCAAAAATAAAACTGTTTGCCCCAATCGAATTTGGTTCGGAATGGTCTCTGATCTGTAACCTATTT